CCGCTTAATTGTGTCATAATTACAAGATGTGCACGAGTACGAACTCTTAGTACCGAGTCCAAATTGCACAATAAGGTAGATTACGCACCCCAAATGTCTTGTAATGTTGATGGACAAGTGATTCAATGATTGGTTTAGTCATATAAACACATAAACCGCTTAATTGTGTCAGAATGACAAGATGTGCATGAGTACGAACTCTTAGTACCGAGTCCAAATTGTACAATAAGGTGGATTTGCACTCCAAATGTCTTGTAATGTTGATGGACAAGTGATTCAATAATTGGTTTAGTCATATAAACACATAAAACGCATAATTGTGTCATAATGACAAGATGTGCACGAGTACGAACTCTTAGTAGCGAGTCCAAATTGCACAATAAGGTGGATTTGCACTCCAAATGTCTTGTAATGTTGATGGACATGTGATTCAATGATTGGTTTAGTCAAATAAACACATAAACCGCTTAATTATGTAATAATGACAAGAAGTGAACGAGTACGAACTCTTAGTACCGAGTCCAAATTGTACAATAAGGTGGATTTGCACTCCAAATGTCTTGTAATGTTGATGGACAAGTGATTCAATGATTGGTTTAGTCATATAAACACATAAACCGCTTAATTGTGTCATAATGACAAGATGTGCACGAGTACGAACTCTTAGTACCGCGTCCAAATTGTACAATAAGGTGGATTTGCACTCCAAATGTTTTGTAATGTTGATGGACAAATGATTCAATGATTGGTTTAGTCATATACACACATAAACCGCTTAATTGTGTCATAATGACAAGATGTGCATGAGTACGAACTCTTAGTACTGAGTCCAAATTGTACAATAAGGTGGATTTGCACTCCAAATGTCTTGTAATGTTGATGGACAAGTGATTCAATAATTGGTTTAGTCATATGAACACATAAACCGCATAATTGTGTCATAATGACAAGATGTGCACGAGTACGAACTCTTAGTAGCGAGTCCAAATTGCACAATAAGGTAGATTACGCACCCCAAATGTCTTGTAATGTTGATGGACAAGTGATTCAATAATTGGTTTAGTCATATAAACACATAAACCGCTTAATTGTGTCATAATGACAAGATGTGCACGAGTACGAACTCTTAGTAGCGAGTCCAAATTGCACAATAAGGTGGATTTGCAATCCAAATGTCTTGTAATGTTGATGGACATGTGATTCAATGATTGGTTTACTCAAATAAACACATAAACGCTTAATTGTGTCATAATGACAAGATGTGCACGAGTACGAACTCTTAGTAGCGAGTCCAAATTGCACAATAAGGTGCATTTGCAATCCAAATGTCTTGTAATGTTGATGGACATGTGATTCAATGATTGGTTTAGTCAAATAAACACATAAACCACTTAATTGTGTAATAATGACAAGAAGTGAACGAGTACGAACTCTTAGTACCGAGTCCAAATTGTACAATAAGGTGGATTTGCACTCCAAATGTCTTGTAATGTTGATGGACAAGTGATTCAAGAATTGGTTTAGTCATATAAACACATAAACCGCATAATTGTTTCATAATGACAAGATGTGCACGAGTACGAACTCTTAGTACCGAGTCCAAATTGCACAATAAGGTTGATTTCCACTCCAAATGTCTTGTAATGTTGATGTTCATGTGATTCAATGATTGGTTTAGTCATATAAACACATAAACCTCTCAATTGTGTCATAATGACAAGATGTGCACGAGTACGAACTCTAAATACCGAGTCCAAATTTCACAATAAGGTCTATTTGAACTCCAAAATGTCTTGTAATGTTGATAGACATGTGATTCTTTGATTGGTTTAGTCATGTAAACACATAAACCGCTTAATTGTGTCATAATGACAAGATGTGCACGAGTACGAACTCTTAGTACCGAGTCCAAATTGCACAATAAGGTGGATTACGCACCCCAAATGTCTTGTAATGTTGGTGGACATGTGATTCAATGATTGGTTTAGTCATATAAACACATAAACCTCTTAATTGTGTCATAATGACAAGATGTACGCGAGTACGAACTCTAAGTACCGAGTCCAAATTTCACAATAAGGTGGATTTGAACTCCCAAATGTCTTGTAATGTTGATAGACATGTGATTCTTTGATTGGTTTAGTCATGTAAACACATAAACCGCTTAATTGTGTCATAATGACAAGATGTGCACGAGTAAGAACTCTTAGTACCGAGTCCAAATTGCACAATAAGGTGGATTACGCACCCCAAATGTCTTGTAATGTTGGTGGACATGTGATTCAATGATTGGTTTAGTCATATAAACACATAAACCTCTTAATTGTGTCATAATGACAAGATGTGCACGAGTACGAACTCTAAGTACCGAGTCCAAATTTCACAATAAGGTGGATTTGAACTCCAAAATGTCTTGTAATGTTGATAGACATGTGATTCTTTGATTGGTTTAGTCATGTAAACACATAAACCGCTTAATTGTGTCATAATGACAAGATGTGCACGAGTACGAACTCTTAGTACCGAGTCCAAATTGCACAATAAGGTGGATTACGCACCCCAAATGTCTTGTAATGTTGGTGGACATGTGATTCAATGATTGGTTTAGTCATATAAACACATAAACCGCTTAATTGTGTAATAATGACAAGAAGTGAACGAGTACGAACGCTTAGTACCGAGTCCAAACTGTACAATTAGGTATATTTGCACTCCAAATGTCTTGTAATGTTGATGGACAAGTGATTCAATAATTGGTTTAGTCATATAAACACATAAACCGCTTAATTGTGTCATAATGACAAGATGTGCACGAGTACGAACTCTTAGTAGCAAGTCCAAATTGCACAATAAGGTGGATTTGCAATCCAAATGTCTTGTAATGTTGATGGACATGTGATTCAATGATTGGTTTACTCAAATAAACACATAAACCGCTTAATTGTGTAATAATGACAGAAGTGAACGAGTACGAACTCTTAGTACCGAGTCCAAATTGTACAATAAGGTGGATTTGCACTCCAAATGTCTTGTAATGTTGATGGACAAGTGATTCAATGATTGGTTTAGTCATATAAACACATAAACCGCTTAATTGTGTCATAATGACAAGATGTGCATGAGTACGAACTCTTAGTACCGTGTCCAAATTGTACAATAAGGTGGATTTGCACTCCAAATGTCTTGTAATGTTGATGGACAAGTGATTCAATAATTGGTTTAGTCATATAAACACATAAACCGCATAATTGTGTCATAATGACAAGATGTGCACGAGTACGAACTCTTAGTAGCGAGTCCAAATTGCACAATAAGGTGGATTTGCACTCCAAATGTCTTGTAATGTTGATGGACATGTGATTCAATGATTGGTTTAGTCAAATAAACACATAAACCACTTAATTGTGTAATTATGACAAGAAGTGAACGAGTACGAACTCTTAGTACCGAGTCCAAATTGTACAATAAGGTGGATTTTTAATCCAAATGTATTGTAATGTTCATAGACATGTGATTCTTTGATTGGTTTAGTCATATAAACACATAAACCGCTTAATTGTGTCATAATGACAAGATGTGCACGAGTACGAACTCTTAGTAGCGAGTCCAAATTGTACAATACGGTGGATTTGCGCTCCAAATATCTTGTAATGTTCAAGGATATGTGATTCATTGATTGGTTTAGTCATATAAACACATAAACTGGTTAATTGTGTCATAATGACAAAACGTGAATGAGTACGAACTCTTTGTACCGAGTCCAAATTGTACAATAACGAGGATTTGAACTAGAAATATCTTGTAATGTTGTAGACAAGGGATTCAGTGATTGGTTTAGTAATATTAACACATAAACCGCTTAATTTTGTCATAATGACAAAACGTGAACGAGTATAAACTCTTAGTATAGAGTCCAAATTATATAATAACGTGGATTTGCACTCCAAATGTCTTGTAATGTTCATATACATGTGATTCTATGATTGTTTAGTCATATATACAGTTAAAGCGCTTAATTGTGTCATAATGCCAAGACGTGCACGAGTACGAACTCTTAGTACCGAGCCCAAATTTTACAATAAGTAGGATTTGCACTCTAATTGTCCTGTAATGTTGATAGATATTTGATTCAACGATTGGTTTAGTCATATAAACACTTAAACCGCTTAATGTGTCATAAATACAAAACGTGCACGAGTACAAATTCTTAGTAACGTGTCCAAATTGTACAATATGTTGGATTTGCGCTCCAAATGTCTTGTAATGTTCAAGGATATGTGATTCATTGGTTTGTTTAGTCATATAAACACATAAACCGCTTAATTATGTCATGATGACAAGAAGTGCACGAGTACTAAGTCTTTGCACCGAGTCCAAATTGTACAATAAGGTGGATTTTCACTCCAAATGTCTTGTAATGTTAATAGCAATGTGATTCAATGATTGGTTTAGTCACATATACACATAAACCGCTTAATTGTGTCATATGACAAGATGTTCACGAGTCACATATACACATAACCCCGCTCACCCCGCATGACGTCACTCAAGCTCGAACTAGATGCCTACATGGACCATGGTTCAAGAGACGATTTAAGAGGTTTAAAGAGAGCTTGGAAGCATTCAAGGTGGAAGAAAAAGTCTTTGCAAGCAAGGCCTACGAGTTTTTTGATGTGAAATCAATTGGCAGAATATATAATTCTCGTGGTCCAAAGATGAAGGTCCGAGTACGACGATAGAAGGATCAAATGGGATCATTCTTGATGGACGTGGACTTTCTAGAAGGAAAGGCCATCACGTTGCTCGATTTATGGACTAGAATGAAGAGAAGATGGGCTTGGTAGAAGGAAGGAAGGAAGATCTCCCATGGTGTGAACAC